AGCCGGCACGCACTCATAGAAGGTGATGTAATATAAGGAAACATGTCGAAAATGATGGAGTCTAAAGGGAACATGACGACCTTGCTTCCTTCCCTCCTTCCTTCCCTCTTCCCCTCCTCCTTTGCATCTTCCTTCCGTTCCTTCTTTCTGACTTGGGCTATCCTTACATGTGTTCTGTTGTTATGACGACGAGAGAGGATTTTCTCTTGGATTTCTCATTAGCAGAATATTAGGACGTTTTGTGCACATCCCATGCATATATATATAGATGCATAGAAACGGAAAATCTTACAGAAACTGCGCTGCGATTTCAGGTTTTAGGGCTTAGGGAAAGTAACCAAACAATAGCAATTCCAATAAGAACAAATCACGTTCCAGGGAAGAACTAATAGAAATGCAAATTCTTCCCAGGAGATTCCAGGGACCTCATGGCCAGTTGCATGCGAAAATGCGGAAAGGGCAGCAGCCCATTCTCTTCGCCGTCCATGCTCCTGAAGCTTCTTATCATCTTCCAACAACTTGAAGCTAAATTTTGTGGAGGTGCCTTGTTGCTTTCTTCCGAACTTTCAAAGGGCAACTTAGGATTGGACATGAAACACTCTAACTACAGCCATTGCACACTGGATTGCGATTGCTGCTACAGAACGAATTACAGTACTGAGACGAGCATGAGCCTTGGATAATGCCCCCACCAAAAAGCAGTCGCATAATCTAGGGCTTACTGTACTTCGATGCATTATTACTGTAGCTGTCATCTTGGGGTGCTGCTATAGCGCGCGGACTGTATCCAGCGCAGGCCCTAGGTATTATGCATGACTAATCCCCTCCCCCAAGAATAAACCCCACATGCCCCCAAACCCCGAATAAGATTTCCCCCAATCTAGGGGGAGGGTGCTGTTTAGGGGGAGAGGATTACTGCAGGTCCTTGATGAGCGCGGTATAGCCGCGATGTACGTCAAACTCTTGCCATGCCCAATGTATCGCCTCGGGGCTTTGGGTTCAGGGCTGAACTGCTGTGGATGGAAGAAATATTGCACCATCCTATAGACTCAGATGTTCAATGTCTAGGCGTTATCCAAGTTTGAACTTTGTGGTTGATGTTGGCTTGATATTGCCCAGAAAGATTCAAGATCACTGTACCCATTGGACAGATACATGTATCACGTACGCTAGAAACTACAGATTGGGGAGCCTGAGTGCCGCAAGATTCCCCCCATCCACCGTAGGAGCGCAAAGAATTGGAATCCAAAGCCCAGAAGCACATGATTGAACTTGCCTTTGGGATAAGCAGTAATCTCCCTAGACCGAAGACAAAAACAATATATTAACAATTCCTCTGGGTTATGCTATGATAACATGAAAAACAACCCCTAAGGAGACTTCAGTATGGGCCTTCGATGCATAGTTCCGCCGAACACATCGGCGCAGTCGGCGGACATAATTTGTAGCATACATGCAAGGGTGGAAAGCCAAGGTATAAATTGCTGTACGTAAGCGTGGGCTCTTGTGCATCCGTACTCTTGTGGAGTAGATCCTTCATTCCACCATGGACCATGGCTGTATCAGTTGTCACTCAGGTGTTGACAAGTTGACAGCGTAGCGACAAAAGCGGTGCTCTTTGAATGAAATGAGCCTAAGCTATGCCTTACGATGTAACCAGAAAGCAGTGCTGTAGCGTAGTGTTATCCTCAAGGCATACATGCACAAACAGATATCAAGTCTTGAAGCAGGACATAGGAGGCGCTTCAGGCTTCCAGCAGTGCACGGAACAGAATTCTGCGGCTTGCATGGACCTTGTTCAGCGCATGCTCATCAACCGAAGACACAGTGAAGCACAGAAGGAATGACTTTAGCACCCTTTCACGCGCGATCATAGCTAGTAGTTCATAAAGACAGTGTATTGTACTGTATACCGCGGGTCTAAACCTCGACGTACTAGCAGCTCTCAGCAAAGCAGCCGTTGAATAATCAAACTGCAGCCCTTCTCTGAAACGCCTGCGTACGCACCGCACGCACCAACAGTTTGCCACATCGTGGTAAACCAACTCATCAAATACAATGGTGGTTGTCAAAATTATGGTCTTTTTGTGGATCCCTATTATAATACGGCACCCAATATTGAGGGTACCCAAAAAGGGACCATAACTTTGACAACCACCCATGAGTCTTTGGTGCTGTCTTTTCTTCCACAGCTGGTGCCGACTCACCAAGGTTTGCCCCCTAACATGCTCGCCATCACCTCAGTTTTAAGGATTCGGGGCCCACTTGGAGGGTCAGGGGAACTTAGTAAGTAGGTAAATCAGGGGGATAACTGGGATGATTATGTGGGGTGTAGGGGTTATTAACCTACTTACTAAGTCCCCCTGACCCTCCAAGCAAGGTTCAAGCTTTAGCTTTGCAAAAAAAACACCTCCATTGGTGTTGAGAAGGGCTGGGAAACTCAATTGGAAAGTTCTGTAGTTGCTAGTAATGAAGGAATGGAAAAGACATGGAAACTAACAATGTTTATTTCCAAAAAAGGGGAACCCCAATACAGGCCCCCATGCACAATAATCCTTTTTATAGGGACCCCCAAAACGGTAGCCCTAAATTTGGGAAACCAAATTACGCAGGGCTACCTGAGAGATTCTTTCTCCATTGCCTGCTATCAGCCAGCAAGCTAGAGAATGTTCCTCATTACGCAAGATCCTGGGAAGGTTTAGGGTTTAGGCCCTTCACGGAGTTTAGACTTTGGCTCACATGAGTCTGAATAGCGTTGATTTCTTTCTGGATGGTGCAAAGGTGCAATCGTATGCTGCGCAGTTAAGTGAACTTGCCCTGGAAGCCGGGTCCGTTTGTATTCTCGGAGTTAAACTGAGTCAGGAGTCACTCAGCCTTGAAAGAATGAGCCCCTCCTGGTAAGTATTAGGTGGACCGCCCCCACTCAGTAATACCATTACTGAGTGGGGGTTCTCTTTTTTTCCTATTATACCACTATTACAGGGTGGGGGGTCCTCCTAACAACCTAGACCCTAAATCCCCAAACCCTAAAGGGTGGGGGGTCCTTCTAAAAGATGCCAAAGGTTGAAGGGAGAGCTCGTAGGTATGTCATAGGCACCTCCAAAGAGAGGACCCATGACTTAACTATAGTAATAATAACAGCAATAATGAACATGGTAAAACGACTAGGAATAGTAATAATAGCAATAATAATGATAGTAAAACATAGTGGTATACATAATAGTAACAAGGATAAGAAGAATAGTGGCAACAAGTTGGGTACTGCCCCCACCCATTAACAGCTGGATAATATTTATCATATAGTCATATACAGCCCTTGGTATGACCCCTATTATAGACTGTTAATGGGTGGGGGCAGGACCCAATTAATAAGAGTAACAAGAGTAATTAATCTGAGCCTTGCGCCCCCGCACCTGCTCCATACACCATGAAGGCGGCCATTGGTGGAGTCCTCATGTTGATGAATTTAGGGTTTAGGGTTTTGGGCTTAGGGTTAATGAGGCTCTAGGGTACTTGAACCCTAGACACTTGCACCAACCCTCAGAATGAAGTCCCATTGCTATCGTATCTCGGAAGCTGACGCTGGGCCACTTCGGGCATGAAGTATATAGACACTCTAGGGGAAGCTCATAAGCACATGAATGATGCTCCGTAAAGTGCGTATTCATTGCGGGTACGGCCCGGGACTTTTTGGCTGCACATGTGGGCTATAATCTAAATTCGTAGTATCCCCCTTAATAAACCCTATAATGCTCCGCTAGAAAACTCCCTATATTACCCCTTGAAGGAGTTCAGACAATAGCTCATGTGAAGCACTGAGTCTGGCAACTGCCCATCCTCGATGCTGTATGGGACTTGGCCTAAATTAGTTTTGCCCCAAATGGAGGAGTTCTATGTAGGTACTCATTCTGTAACAGGAACCTCACTATAGAGACCTGTATAATCTGTATACTTGTGAATTCAAGGAAATCCCTGTACATGGATTACATGGTATCCATGTAGGAAGAACTCTATTTTTGGTACGTGGACTACGCAACATTCCGTCTGCAAGTGATCTGTATAGGGGTTTCCCAGAAATGGAGGCTTCCTTTTGCGAACCCTTTTAACACGTATTTGAAGGTTGCATCTTTGCGGGGGATACGGAGGTTTGCAATGGGGGGCCCAATGCACGATCATCCTTCTTAGACAGCCCCCCCAAAAATCACCCCTAGTTTCTGGAAACCCCCCCATAACATGGGGACCGCCACTGTTGGAAATACCGTAAACCTGAATGTAGGGAAGGCTAAGACCAATCGGTCTGTGCGCATCACTAAGGCCAGGGCACTTGCGGATAGCCTGGCATCAGCGGTTCTCCCAACATGCACGGCGCCCTCGTTTCAGACCCTAAACACCCAGAACCTCTCGAGTTGCAAGCCATTGTCTTGCCCTGGGTAGAGTTCAAAGCCCTGAAGCTTCACATCCTGAACCCTAAACCCTAAGCCTTAAACCCTAAACCGCGTGGCTCCCGAGCCGCGGGCGGAAGAAGAAGGCAGGACTGGCAAACCTGAGCGTATGGGGCTGTGATAGTGTTAATATGGGGCTTTCCCAAAATTAGGGGGGTACTTTTTAAAGGGGGATAGGGTCTAGGGTTGTGGGTTTAGGGATATATACATAGGGGTTAAACAGGGTTATATATGGATTCAAAGAGTTGAGCGTTTCTCAAAATTGGGGGTGCCTTTTGAGCGTCCCCATAATAAGGATTCCGGTAAATTGGGGGTCGATATTGCGACCTTATGTAGGGACACTACCATAAGGGGTTTAATGGGGTATACGGGGGTACATAGGGATCTTAAAGGGACATCCAGGGATTCTATGGGGATAATTGGGGATTATTAGGTGCAGCTGGCAACCCCTTGGACAGCTTTCAGCTCAACAACTCTGCAGGCGGAGAATTACAATAGCAGAAGTCAAGGGGCCCTAGGTGCTGCACATTTCCTCCAGCAACAACAGTGCTATAGGGGTTATATAGGGATAATGGAAAAGAACATGGAAACTACTACATTATAATAGGGGCTGTTACAGCAGCCCAAGATAATTCTGCGATCGCCGATGGCGCAGCGACGTGCATTCAAGGAACGGAACGCCAAGAAGTCCTTGCTGAACACCCCAAGCGCCGATGAGGCCGCCAGCAGCCACGTTGTGCAGTAGGGATCTTCTACCTGGTCGAAAAATTGGTCTCCCTTGATCCTGAACATTAGTAGATTAACTGGGGGTGTCTCAGCTCTTCGAAGTGCCGCTGGTGTCGTAATGGGGCAAGCTATGGGGCTACTACATGCCCGTAGGGGATAACATGGGGACTATTAGAGAGATCCAGTCCCAGTCCCTGCTTTCCATCAGCAGTACAGAGTGTACCCCGGCCTTGCAATGCTTCCATTGGACACTGCAAAGCCTGATAGACATAGAGCAAGCCGCTGTTCAAGGCCTCAGCCAAAGCATGCCTCCATTTCTGCATTTGAACATTGTTTTTTCCTTATAAACTTTCTTATACTAACATGGAGAGCCTACGCGAACTACGCGGA